AAAAAAGAAAGTAGATGAGGCCCAGAAAGGGAGAGTGGTGGAAAGGGAAGCAGGAGACCCTGAGGGTTGGGAGGAGCCTGGGCACGCAGCCTCACCTGCAGGCAGCTGCAGGGTTGGACTTCCTAAGCGTCTCTTGACCCTGTCACCTGTCCTGGTCCTGTGGCTACTGGACACTGAGCAGCCACGTGCTTCCTTGCCACTGATGGCAGCTCCGACCCTAGCTGGGCACCCTGAGCCAACAGTTAGTTAATCTTTGGGACAGGGTGGACTGGATACAGCGGGGGTGCTCCTGGGGAGCCCTGCCCTGAGCATGCCCCGCCTCCGTTCCCATGTGGACTTTCCCTGCCCCCTTACCATTTGGCTCCCCTGGTCTGATGGTGCTCCTGTCTCCTTGCTGTCTTCTCCCCTCCCTCACAGTCTTACAAATCTCCCAGGCCTCCTTGTGATGATCTATTTGTGGAGTCTTTAGTTTCTTCCTTCCTCCCAGGGCCCTGTCCTCCTCCAGACCCCAGACCACTTGCTCTAGGTCCCGGGACTTCAGAGGATCTGGGGAGGAGGGTACAGGAAAGAGAGGGAGATGGAGGGAGGGAAGGAGCGAGAGTTGCCAGACTGTGACTGTCCCTCTGTTCCTGCAGAGTCCGTGCTGTCTCCATGCCAGATTACATGGTTTATGAAGAATTTAACCCTGACCAAACCAACGGTAGCTATGAATCCAGGAGAGGGCCCTACGACTTCGACATGAAAACGGTTTGGCAAAGAGAGGCTGAGGAACTTGAAAAGGAGAAAAAAAAGGTGACAGGAGCCCATAAATAGATGGCATCGCATCCCTTTGCTTCTGTGGCCCCAAATGACTAAGTGCTGTGATTGTCAGCGGCTGGTGGTGTGTCTGATGTTGAGCACAACACCAACCGTGCATTCTGTATTTTGAGCTTGGATTTACTGAAAGGCAAGCAGCCACAAGATTAGTGTCTTTCTTTTTCTTTTTAGGAATATTGACTTTATGAGGTAAAATTACTTATTACTAAACAATTTTTAACTGGTTCTCACTTATCTACAGAAAAGTGGCATAGCACTTCTCTTCTGGCACACACAGAAAGGAAATTTTATATTTATTCGTTTTCCCATTTCTGAATATTTCTATCTTATTTGCGTATCTAAGTTAAAATCTCCCTGGAATACTCTTTATTCAAAATTGTATTAGTCTGTTTTCTGTTGTTTATAACATGGTACCTGAAACTGGGTAATTTATAAAGAAATGAAATTTTCTTTGGACAGTTTTGGAGGCTGGGACGTCCAAGGTCCAGAGAACACATCTGGTGAGGGCCTTCTTGGTGGGAACTCTACAGAGTCCTGTGACAACCACAATCACGTGTCAAGAATGACCTGAGCAAGAGCGTTAACGTGCTCAGTTGCTCTTCTTGTAAAGCCAGCAGAACCACTCCCAGATAACCCATCAAACCATTAACCCATTGGTGGATTAACCCATTCTTTAGGACACAGTCCTCATGATCCAATCACCTCTTAAAGGCCCCACCTTTCAAATACCATAATCAAATTTCCCACCCTCTTAACACTGTCACAATGGGGGTCAAGTTTCCAACGTGTTAGCTTTTGGGGGACACATTCAGCCCATAGGAATAAGAAGAGAAGATGAATTATTTTCTTCTGTACATTCTCCCACTGTATTTGACCATGAAAGAGTGACTATTCCATAAACTGAAGCTTTCTTAGGAAATTTGTATTTTAAAAGAGCAGCTGGGAAATTCACACACAGCCTCTGATATCTTGATTAGAAGCCCTTCCTGTCTTCTTG